ATCTCATTCGAGTCCATCACCTCTCTAAAAATGGTGTACGATTACGAGGTTAGTACATTGGTCCGTGCACAAATTTTGTTCATGCCTTATCATAAATGCATTTACTTCATATTTATACGCATATATGTATGTACATTTTACGTGCGTGTATATAATACGTGTAGACTTTGATATTGTCATTGTGAATATAGATGTGAAGAGATGGTTGGCAGAATTGCGAGGAAAGGACATGCCGGAATCATTTTCTTGGTCATACAAGAGGTTTGTATGAATTCAGTTATATTGAGAATTAACTATATTTTGATCAATAATGGCTTTTTAGATTTAAGTCAAAACTAGTTTAATACTTTACATAAAAAATTTCTCCCAATACAAGAAGGAATGTTTTGGTTGCTTTTGACGGATCACTTACTGTTAGGTTAGTTCGAGTGTCAATCTATGGAGGCACCATTTGTTAGTATTGGACAAATTTCTCCTTTCGTTTTCGTTTTGAATTTTCCATAATGCTCATTCTAGGAAGAGTTGGAAGAAGAACGCGGATTATTTGATTAATCTTTCGACATTTATATTTTCTAAACGTTTCAAATGGCTTGAAAAGAGAAGTGTGAATGAGATATTCCTTGAGATGACATAATCAACGATTCTCTCACCCTAAGGCGCTATCTTCAACATTTCTTAACCGATGATCTTCGACTAAAATCGATGATTTTTGCCTATTCCCGAAGGCGCTATCTTCAACCTTTCTTAATTTCATCATGATTCACTCATTGAATAATTTAAGTTTCAATTTATTGCAGTTAATTAACTTGATTTATTTTGCTTTTTTGTGCAGGAAGTATAGGACAGGTTACATATGGCAAGATTTGCTGGATGATGATCTCATTACTCCAATGTCGGACAATGAATATGTTCTCAAAGGATCAGAGATTTCGTCTTCCACTTTTAATAAGTTTAATAAAGGTAAATCTTATCATCAGTTTACTTTTATTTAAATATTTGAAAAGAAAATCAATTTTATTTACTTCATTATTTGATAAATGACAAGTCAAATCTATTTTCGTTAAAGATCAATAAATAAAAACTAATATCACTAACGAATTTTCTTTCCTTTTTATTCTTTTTTAATTATTTATTTGACAGACCTTTCACACACTCAAAACGTTCCCATGCAAAAAGAACCATTAACCCTTGAAGATACAGAAGGCCACGAGCCCTCTTGCATTCAAATTCATTCAGAAACTTCAAAGGGTGTTTCAACAAGAACACCATCAGAAATCGAAGAAGAATCGCCGACTTTTGGCTCCGAAACATCTACATTGACCGATGATTCTGGAAAAGTCGAACGTGATCTGGGGAAAAAATCAGACACTTTGAAACAAGTAAACTTGCATGGTTCTACTGATCAAGAACAAAAACTTCCCATAAGTAATGGGAATCCTTCATCTTCTTATTTTAATTCAACTCCATCGAGTATGGACAAGAAGACGACGAACAGCAAAGTTCCAAGGGAGAAAAATAGTGCACTAAATTCACCAGAGGCTTCATTCACAAAGAACAAGAGCTGTTCCAATGGAAAATCCAACATATTCAAGAATTTGATATCATGTGGTGCTGTGGATACGAATGATTCAGCAGTTGTGATGATCAATAGAAAGAATAAACCATTCTTGAATATGTGTTCTAGTGATCAGGATAATGTTCTTTCGGCAGAAATTTGCAAAAGGGATAAACTAGGAGGTTCTCAGAGGATCTTTGGGACTTCGTGGAATCAACAGCAGTGGAATGGCAGGTAATTTACCTTTACGGTAAGCATGTTTCGTAAGTTTAAACGAAGAGGACAACGTATAAACATTTTATACATCTCTCGTCCTTAATCATGTCGAGCCTAGCCTTGTTTGAAAAAGTTACG